CCTTTTGAAAATGGCAAACACAAGCGTTCAGAATTCTAAAGTTGTAACGTGTTTAATTTTTTTTATGTCCAAAACACAGTATTTGTGTTAATTAAAGAATATACACAGTCTGGTTAAAGCGTTTTCGGATTGAGCTCATAAAAAAAATCAATGAGTGCAATAAACAAAATTAAACAATTATTCCACAGATAACCCTTGTGAAGTTTGCAGAGATCCTCAAGCCATTCGATTAGTGTTCTGGAAATACTCAGTTGGCATGACTCTTAGCTCCCTCGTAGCGTTTTATGGGATAGTATTGATAGCGTCAAATCGACGGCCTTTCAGCTTTAATTTCAGTTTTGGTAACAAAATGGAATATGGTGATGATAAGCCCAGCAAATAGGGGGGCTGGCATAGCACAGTTACATACTTCTTTGCCAAAAACGAAAGAGTAAAAGCTGCATTGTGAGACGGCGCATTATTATGCAGCAAGAATCAGTTTTTGTTTGCATTTCAGCAGCCGATCTGATACACCCATATAAAACACCGCACCTGTTTTTCCTTCAGGAACGAATTCCGGATGAATCAATCCTTTGCAGTAAAAGAAAAAACTTTAACACATTGTTTTCACATTCGATTTTCCGAAAAGCATTTTCTTTGGCTTTGTCGAGGTTTCTGTAATCTATTTTCGTTTCTGGATCGTATGGAACACCATCATTCATCGAATGTGATGATTGTTTTTCAGCGTTACGGCCGGAAAATTCCGTATAGAAGGTTGCCTTCTATATTCATTACACATGAAAATTTCTGCTAGCCTTTTAATGTATATGGTTTCAGTTTGAATGTATATCGGAAGAAAAGGAATCAATGTACAAAATTAGAGAGTCATTTTTTAATTAAAATAAAAAAATATCACTTATTCATGACATTTTGAAGAACTTTTGAAATTTCAGGGCTAAACCCGTAACACTTGGAGGGTTAAAGTCTGGATCGCGACTTCGTATATCAAGAATATCCTGACAAGAGGCTACTTGATCATTCTTTTGTTCTGCTGTTGGTGAATGCGGAATAAAACGTTCATATAATTTCCGTTTTCCTAAATTGGCACTAATTAATCTATGGATAGCTTCTTTATCAATGATTAAATGCTTTGCAAGCGTTCTAATCGCTAATCGACGATCTTGACGGACAACTTCAATATTCGTGGCAGTTCGACTTGTGCTAAGGCGACTGTACTCCTCCGTTCAAGTTCCCTTTCCGTTTTGTAGATGGCAAGAGGCTGCTAATAATGATGGGTTTTATATTTGCTTAAAAACAAGATTTTGACATCAAATGATTGTCTGTTTCAACTGATTGTTTCCAGATCGTCAGTGGAAGCTCACATTTAATTGTACATTAGAGGATTCCTGAACACTTTACTCACAAATACTGCTGATCACAAGAACTTTCAGCATAAGAGCCAAAATGGCTGGCGTTAGAAAGTAAAAAATTATCGTAGTTATAGATTACAAAATTGTATACCTAAATCTTTAACAAATATGCAACTATTCTGTCAATATAATTTATCTGTTGCTTACTGGAGAAAAGAAAATCTTACGTTTCGGGTTGGAGTGAAACTTGACTGAGACAGTGTACCCTTGTCCTTTAGTAGGCACTCGAAACTCTAGCAGCCCTACGTTTTGAGAGGTCTTGAATAATTTTCTAGGTTTGGATTTTCCGCAAAATTCAATAAATCGTTTTTCTGCTGGTATCGGATGATCTTCAGGACTTGGGAAAAATTGTCCATTGAGTTCCCAGCCATCTATGACCTGTAAGAAGAAGAATTCCTAATAACTCTACTCAAATTAACAATAAACCTTCTACTTAGAAAGTATTTTACTTAGTAAAAGTAAAACATAATAAGTAAAGTAATTAACAAAAGATCCAAATAGCAAAGAAGCAAATCTTGCTTAGAATTTGCCTAAGAATACATTAACGTTTTACTGATTTCTGCGTCAGTAACGCAAACAAAAAAATTAAAATTCTTCGAAGCAAAACAGCGAGGCAGTTATAAACAATTTTCAAATATTTAATGTTATCCAAACCTAAGATTTATCTGCAATAAATATCTTAAGCAGAAACGTTTCTCTGATAGTTTTCACTACTGATAAAATATTTTAGGGAAACAGTTAAAAAATTCTAAATAAGTGAATAAAAACAAAAATAATTACGCTGAGTAATCCTCCTTTAGTGCAAGATATATCGAATGATTGGAATTCAAATTCTACTTGCTTGTCAGGTTCGGCGATGATATATAAACCACAGACTTGTTCACCTGTGCCCGGTGACCTGAATGAATACAAGCCTTCTTCTGATTTCACAAAGATACATTCTAAAAGTAAAGAAAGTAAAATACAATTTTTAAGTAAATAATGTTGTAGTTTATATCAGTAATACGCATATGACAACTAGTGCATAATAGGTATCAAGTAATTTTGTAAAGGTATTGGGGTTGGCAAGAAAGTAATTTCGGTTTGCACAAACAGATAGCATTATGTTTCTTTTTCTTCTCTCAATTGTACATTTTTTTTCATTTGAAATGTGGCAACCGAAACTTTTATGCTGCTACAAAAAACATTCTGTGTATTTTTGTTAACAGCACTTAGTTTACTGTCAATTTTAACATAGAAGACAAAAAAAAAATCGGCATATTTTGCTCACTTGGCTTTCATGAAAGCAAGTGAGCTGCTGAGGTTCCCAAAGAGATATGTGAAGTTTTGAAGTTTATGGTGATGATTGCTTAACAAAATGCATGCTTCAGAATTCATTTATAAAATTTCGTTCTGGAGATTTTTCACTTGCAGGTGACCAATCTTATGGCAGACCTTCTAAAGTAGATGATAATAAAATTAAAGCCTTAATTGAATCGAATCGTCATACAACCAATTTTCCAGATCGTCAGTGGGAAGCTCACATTTAATTGTACATTAGAGGATTCTGAACACTTTACTCACAAATACTGCTGATCACAAGAACTTTCAGCATAAGAGCCAAAATGGCTGGCGTTAGAAAGTAAAAAAATTATCGTAGTTATAGATTACAAAATTGTATACCTAAATCTTTAACATAATAATTTCAAAAAGTTTAATAGAATGCAAAAGGGTTAATTGTATCGCACAGAACAATTGAAAATCACATAAGATGTCTTAGGCTCGTTAAGAAGCTGAATATTTGGATTGCGCTTGCATTGAGAAGAGAAAAGAAATTTACTTAACACAACGAAACAATATACGCGATATTTATTTCAAGCGTATTGCATTCGACCTTATTTTGAAACGAATTATCACTGCTAATGAAAGGTGGATCGTCTGCAATAACATTAATCGAAAAAATCATGATCCAAGTATGGTGAATCAGCACAAATCAAATTGAAATCTAATTTGCGTCAGAAAAGGATCATGCTTTCAGTTTGGCAGGATTACAAGGGTGTTGTGTATTTTGAGCTGGGTTCAAGTAACCAAACAATCAACTCACATGTTTGCAGCCAATAACTTATGAAACTGGAGGAAGCAATGAAAGAGAAAGGCCAGAATTAACAAATGGTAAAGGAATCGTGTTCCACCGCGACAATGCGAGACCTCACACATGTTCAGCAACGCGTACAAAATTATTGGAGCTTAGCTGGGAAGTGATGTCGCACCCCATATATGACCCAGACCTTGCGCCATCAGATTATTATTTATTTTGAAGTTTTAAAAACGTTTAAGTGGTAAAAATCCTAGTAATAATAAAATAATAAAGATGACATCATTGGTTGAATTTTTTGCTGTTAGAGACTAGATGAGATGACTAGAAAGCTATTTGACTGCTTAAAGTTGATTTTTTGTACAAAAGAACTGAGTTTTATTTCACACTAAAAATCGTAATTACTTTTCCGCCAGCACAACTCAGCGAGCTACCAGAAATAATGGGCATGAAATAAAAACAAATCTCGTACACGCATTTTCCAATAAAATTACCTATATAATAATGTATATTAGTATCTTAATTTAACTATCAGATCTTCTTTTTAAAAAAATGTCTTCCTCGCAGATGATTTAAAGACAGATTATTTCTATAAGATTTGGGGACAATAATTCAATGTATAAAATTAATTAGCAAGAGAGTGTTCTTTTAGACACTTCAGAAATCAGATAATTTCTATTGATACCAATAATTCTGTCACTGAATTAGAATTGGTATTCAAAAATAAAACATTCCGATAAAAAATTAACCCGCATATAGATGTCTTTAAAGTATCTGCAATTAAACAAAGATAAAAGGTCTAAATATTTTACGAAACGACAGAAAAGAAAATTATTAGGAATGAACATTTGTCTGCTTCTGTATGCACATTTTGGTACTTCAAAAGTCTATGACACCAATGTATTAATTCTATTAATTTATTAATATGCCATTAATATGTTTTGTATTGGCTTATTATAGTACATCCTTAGATAAGTGTTTACTTTTCGATAAAGTGCTACTTACTTACAAGCTGATGTGAAAATAAATTGCATTATCATTGTACAATGAACCTTATTTTTTACTGAATGCATTTCTGATAGACGGTTGGTGAAAAATTATCATATTTAACAAGTATTGTAACTAATTAGACTGTATAAATAGTTCCCCTTCTCCAGGAATAAAGCTCATGAAGAAGGGCGTATGTCTTCGTTATGACTTTGGTAACAAAACTTTGAAACTGGTAATTATATACGAACTCTGCATCGATTTCAGGTTGCTCTTTTGCCTAAGTTTAAATCAATATCATCCATATCAAAACGTTTATCACTTTGTGGAGCAGTTTAATTATGTAAAACTGCTGTGTGTAGATGATAATGATACATGTTATTTTCGAGTAAATAAATTCAAATTCAGTATCAAATTTCAGTCATTAATTTTCCAGCATTCTAAAAATACACATTTTAAAATACACAAATATAACCTGTGATGTAGCCGTTCCTCAATAGACACTAATGCCGGCTAGCTTTAAAAGGGTTATTAACAGAGCACACAGGAACGGTTACAAACAAAAAATATATATAAAAATGAACTAACGAAATGGAACACAAACATTGAATAAATACTAGTAAGCTTTCATCATGGCGGCTGGAGGTCGACTGACGATTTTTTCATATGCCACGAGATGCGTTTTCTAATAAATAGTTCGGTTACAGTTAATAGTTCTGGCGTGAATAAAAGAGTTCAATACATTAAATAGGTCTGTTAAATCCTCCCCTCTGACTTCGTAGACGTCTCGGCAAGAAGTCGAACTGACATTGTCTATTTTGTCAGCGGGCGGGAGAATCGATGGACGGGCTCCACGTTGCCGAGGAGTGATTTGCGTACCAGCACCTTGTGCAACAGGTGCAGATTCGGTGGTATTATTACACGTTTCGGCGTCTCTTTTCTTAAGGGAACCACGGAATTACACGAGCTGAGTTTTGTTATTTCGATCTTGATATGGTTTCAAGGCTGAAACATGATACTTGCCGAGAATTTTGTCTAGTTAGTGAAGATCGGTAATATCATAAGTGGTTGAAAATCTTGTAGTCAGTATCACATAAGGACCATCTCACTTCGACATGAATTTAACAGTTTTCTTTAGTGGACTTTTGCTGATTGTGTGGAGAGTAACCCAAACTTTATCTCCAGAAACGGATTTTGGAGTTTCTCTTCGTTTTTTACCAGCATATCGTTTCTACTTATCTTGATGTAATTCGACTCCTTCTCGTACCTGTTGTACATTTCTTGCAAACGTTTCAAATATGGAGTAATTTCGGGAAAAAATTCGTTCTCAATTACGGCTTATATCATGCTTTACATCATCTAAGGTTCGTAAACTCTCTTGCAAATGAAAAAAGAAGCAGAATGTCCTGTTGAAGCACATTTGACTGTATTCAAAGCAAACTTATTAATGGCAGTTTATCCTTCCATACTGATGGTCGTTACCACAAGTATTGATAAACGTGTTCAGATCTCTATTCTTCCTTTCCTGGGTAGATTGTGGTGATAGACAGGAGTAAGACTTTGATCATGTTCAAATTAGCATAGTTGTTGCATACAGCACTAGTAAACTGGGTACCATTAACACTTATTATTTTCCTGGGTAACCCAAATCGAAGGGCGACTTCCTCCAAAAGAATTGGCACATTCTCTGGCCGTGGCTTCCTTTAAAGCAAATGTCTTGTCCACTTCGTAGCACATCCTGCACAATAAAAATCCTTTTCCCCCAACGGTGTTTCAGAAGGGGACCGAAAGATCATGACAAGTTTCAAAAGTGAGCATAGACTGGAATTTGAAGTAGACAGAGGGCTTTTGATTACTGGCTTAAACGACCAGCATTCGAGACAGCTTTTGATATTCTGCTTACATCCTTTCTCATCCAACCAGTAGTTAGTATCTTTTGCTATTCGTAAAAGTTCCTCAGATCCATAGTGACCGGCACGTGGCGATCATGATATTCTTTCAAGATTTGGCTTTCTTTTGTGAGGATAACTAGTTGATCTTGTTCCTCTTCTGAATCAGGAGGAAATCGGATACAACAAACTCCTTGTTTCATAAGTAGCCTCTTCCAGTCAAAGTTGCATAGTCTGCTTCTTTCTATGGACTCTCAAAAGTTCGATGATCTCCGAAAGTATCATCTTCAGCTGTTGATTGTCTTAATTCTGCAGGGCTAAATAATAAGGTATTTCCACAGAGAAAGCCATACTTGACAAGCATCTGTTAATTGAGTTGTTCACAAATAGGACGAGACATAGATCAGCAAAAAAAAGTTCAATAGCCAGAGAATGTAATTGATCGTCCGTGTAGGATTGGCTTTGTAAGGCCCATCTGCGAGCTACCAGTTGGTGACTTTAAAGACATCAGCCATTTCAATTGGTTGGTGGTCAGAGGTGATGTGTAGGACTGGCTTTCAACATATTCCTCTAAATTGTTGAGTGCCCATACTATGCTAAGGCTTCCTTTTCTATGGTGGAATAGTTTCGTTATGATGCAGTCAGGCAAGCGGATGGCATTATCTATAGGGTTGTTCGTATTTCGCCCTTTGTAGCAACACCTGCTCACAATGGCTACATTGCTCGCATATCTGGCGAATGATAAAGACTTCGTTCAATCAGCTTGCTTAAGCATCGGCGGGCTAATTTAATTTGGATTTCATCTCTTGGAACGCATTTTCTGTTGTGCTTCCACTCCAACCAGCCGCTTTTCTTTTCTTTGTAAATCCGTTAACGGGTTGGCATTTGAGAAAAATTTGGGATATATCGACGATCGATACCAGGAAACACGTTGGTACGAAACGATTGACACTGCTCTTAAAACGTTTTCGGCGATGGCAGTCTTGAAATG